CGACCACTGTCGCCCGCCGACTACTATCCTACTGATCAAACGAACATATCAACATTCTCTTAAGAATAACTGTTATGCCATTCTCATACTATCTACTGTGCTATATATATTGTATATTTTCTATGTTGAGCCAACACCCTCCTCTGAGGATGAGCATTATTTGTAGTCAACCTCCAATACTAGTGAACTCATTTAAATTGGGCCATGCCTCGTGAGTTTTCTCCCTTTTCAAGGATTTTCATATAAAATTCTGATGTCTCTTATGATTGATGCACACATCTCTTCTATGTGTTTGTGTGCTGAATTTTCGTATAAATCTTGGACGCTAAACTTTATATCTCTTTACCGCTGCGACTATTCTAGGATGCAACAACATTGAATAGAATGAGATATTTTAATGAATCCAATGTAAACTTTAGTGGAGTCTAGTCAAGTCTAAGCTTTATTAAGATTTATAGTCGGCCTAGCATTAATCAACTTATCTTAGGCAGGCATTTAGGTTGTACTAGAGTTCATGACATGTCATAAAAGGTTTAGTCTTTCATATCCAATCTAATCAACTTAGACTAGTTATAACCTAATAGAATATTCTAAAACTTAGCCAAACTCAATTGCGAAAGTATTTAATAGACCCATTGGAATGCAATAGGTTACTCCAAAAAAAGCTTTGGGTAGATTTTTTGAAATAATATAATTCAGTTGAGTCAATCAAACTCCAATGGGCCTATCCTATGCTTGTAATTAAACCTAGAAGAATACTTAACATAGCCCAAGCTACTTTATGGTTCTTAACTATGGTGATCATGTGATGTTTAGAAAGCTATACATCATTAGGTCCTGCATGACAATCATTTAATCAAGTTCAAGTGATTTAAGCTACTAGTTAGTACATCCATTTAGGATCCTAGTTAGTAATGTTTGATGAAATGACTTAATGAGTTTAGTAAATCAATTTTCGTCTTATAAAGAGATTGATGCTCATCAATGGGCCGTTAATCTCCTCTCTTATAAGGAGAACAACATAGCATATCGTCAATCGTTTCTTGATATAACTGTAACATTTCAATGCTTTTTTACTTTTACTATTTTTGCCGTCGTTCAAAATACAAACTTTTACATCTTATTTTAATATATTCTGCAATTACGAGAAAATATGTCATTTATAATTTAAAACTCACACTAGTAGAATCATTTCAAATGAACTAGTCCACATAATTTTTCATTCTTAAATTTTCTAAATAATTTTTTTAATGTATACTACTAGCAATTCTTATATTATGTATATATATGGATTTACTTCGGAGATGAACTAATACACATATCAAATATGTAAGTTTCGAACTCAAAATCTTTTGATTAGTAGCTAAAGTTCTCAACCAATAGATAAAAAAGAACTGCAATTTTAAATTTTATATTACTCCATACTTGAATAGCTCTACTAAAATACCCATCTCATAATTTTAGTGAGCTTTAGGCAAAATGGAAACCAAATTTATGTTTCCTGATATCTATTGATTTGGATTTGGTGGGCTCTTTGATCAGCGACCAATCGGGTCCACTAATATCTTCACGCATGCCTGTTGGAGGCCTTATGATGCCTTATCTTTTGCTTTATTTTATGGGCCCATGTCCGAACTAGTACTTTTCTAGTTTGTTCTTGAACAAGCTTTTGGCCTTTTTTTTTTGTGAGGTTTTTATATACCTAATTTTTAAAACGACTTTATTTACTTAACTAACATCCAAACTGTTATAACAAACTTCACTATTTACTGTTTTACCACATAAACATCCTTGCCCTCATCAAAATTATCGCTATGTTGCCTTCCGTTAAACCCACATCTTGACTCTGTCTTTCGCTCGGGAAAAATTTATCATCTTCGTTGTTGTTTGAGCTGCAACCTTTCACGTTTGAATCCCACGTCACACGCCTTCTCCAGCTTATGCAAACATCCCAACCGAGCGGAATAATCCCTGAATGTCTCGTGTGAACATCTCAATTGACGGCCTCCCATCGATTTTTCCTTGATCGATCAAGTGCTCACGTCAAACCATTCTTCCTTCCCTTTAGGTCTTTTCTCCAGCTTTGCTATAGATACATGCATCTTCTCCATCTGTCGTCTAAAGATAAAATGTTCAGCAAATAGTTACATACTTGGTTCCTATATGTTCTCTATGTTGTTCTATTCATGAAAGCTCATGTCACCTCTTCTTTGTGACTACACATTTCAATTATTGTTGAGCTTATTCCTAGGTTAAAAAACATTTTATTAAGACTTAGTCTGCTTCAAATTTTTAATTGTACTATTGATGTCTTGCCCGGCATTTGACTCAAAAATTTCTTTGAAAGTGGTTCTTTTGTTGGAATGATCATTCATATGGTTTCTTTTTCATGTTGCCTGCTAGCTTCTTGCCTTATTCATACATTTCCTTTGAAAGTGCTGCTTTTTTGCCACTCAATTTTTCTGATCTAGAGGGATTTTGGCATGCCTTGGATGATGATGAACTCCCCTTAATTCCCAAACCACCTCCTCTAAAAAATCTTCTTAATAAAATCAAATTCGATATTAATCTGACCCGATTCAATCAAATTAACATTAACTAAATCGAATCAACCTGTTTCGAAACAATTCAAATCAAATCGACATTAATTAAATCAAATGATGCATCTCGAGTTCAATTCGACTTCGGCGGCTGCAATCGATTCAAATTAACTCCTTTCTAGTTAAATTAACTTCAGTTAGCTCAACCCGGTTGAGCTTATTTAATCCAAATGTCATCTACTTGTTTAATTCATTTTTCTCTGGCCAATTCAGCCCTCCTTTGCCTCTTTAATTCAGCAAATCATCTCAGCCCGTGGATTGGGAACTTTTATTTGGTCCGGTGAACGTACGCAACTCTACGTTCGGCCGCCAGTATAATTGCACCACGTGTTTTCATTATTTACCGCGCGCCCCGACAACCCGACCCGAAACAGACCCAAGATTGCTCGGTATTGCTAGGTATTGGTCGATTTTGCTCGTCAATAACCAATACCGAGCAATACCGATCAAATACCTAGCAATACCGAGCAAATACCGAGTTGTACCGAGTAGTACCGAGTTTTTTCTAGCAATACCGAGCAAATCCCTAGCAATACCGAGCAAATCATGAGCAAATACTGAGTTGTACTGAGTTATACCGAGTTGTAAAAAAACTCGGTACAACTCGGTATTTGCATGGTATTGATCTTCACAGAGCGGTATTTCTCATTTTGCAAAGCAATACCTAGCAAATACCTAGCAATACCGAGAAAATCGCGAACATAGCATTCTCGGGTTCCGCTCCGGGTCAAGTTGTCGGGCCACGCGATAAAGAGCAAGAGCACGTGGCGACATGTTATTGGCGGCCGAATGTAGCTCTACGTCCGGTCAGATGACGTAATAATTGTTCGTGGATTGGAGGGGCAAGATGGTCTTGTAGCTTTGCTAAAGCTATTAGGTTATAAAATAAGAATGAACAGGGATGGGGGCGGGACCTGATTGGAACAAACCACACATATCTCTTTCTCCCCTTCAATTGGAACACACGCCGATCTCTCCCGTTGGTTCTCTCGATTGCACACAATCCTCTAGTCTACCTTTTCGGTTCCTTCACACGCCTAGGGAACACATGCAGATCTCCGCTTCGATCGATCCTTCCTCCCTCGTACACGAGAAGCTATACCCAAGCTGATGTGGTGAGAAATCAGTGATTGGGTGCACGGGATGTGGGCCGCACGTAGGCACTGTGGTCAGTTTGGAGACGAGCGTGTGCAGGCGGATCAGGCTACGGGTTCTGGTCGCGCTAGAGCATGTGCTGTCAGACTCGTGCTGGGGCGGAGGGAAACATCGGGAGGTTCGAGCTGGGTCGCGTACACAACTCTCTTTGGCCTATTGGTTGAGAGTTTAGGCTTCCAACTAAGAGGTTCAGAATTCGAGTCTAAGTGTATGCGTTGTGTGTGTGAGTTTGCCTTTAATGGCCTAAATGTCTCAAAAAAAAAGCTGGGTCGCGTGCGGGAGCGAAGGCTGCACACGGAAGGGGAGGAATCGGGTTGGGAGGAGCTGTAGTTGCAGGAGCACGTCTGAGTCGCGTCTGCAGACTTTACAGGTGTGCGGATTGGAAGGCCTACTTTAGCTAAGATACACTGCATCACAAGCCTCTTGGTCTGATCGAGCCCTTCTCATGCTCGGGTCTCTCTCCTTCTTGCAAGAACCAGCTTCTTCCTGAGATCAATTGTTGTAAGGATATCATTTCTCTTTCAAATAGATTAGCCATGTATTTCTTTTGTTTTCAAGATTTAGTGGCTACTGAGCTGTTTGACAACGATTAGGATTTAGTAAATCCTATAAATGTGAATTTAGTAAATTCTGGGTTCATTAAATCCTGAAAATTATTTGACAAGCTAATTTTCAAATCTTGTTAAATTCTATGAATCTATTTTAAGGGGACTAGTTCATTTAAAAGTTAAATTTAATTTATATGTTAAATATGAGTAACTAATTAATGTCAATTTTAATTAATATCAATAAGTTAAAATGATAAATAATATAATTAGAAGTTTACTTGATTATCAAATAATTAAATAATAATTTAACCATTATTTATAGTATTAATTATCAAACTACATATTTAGAGGCTAATTTAATAAGTATTTGATATTCAATTTTATTGATAATTATCTAATTAATTAGTTTATTATTATTTTAGAAATAGCTAATTATTAACTAGTACTTAAGTGTGTAATTACATATTCCATTTCAAATTCTAAATCTTAAACTAATCATATTCATTTTTAATTACAAATTAGCTAACTAAATATTTAATTAAGCTTAATTAGGTTATTTAATTACTCTTCTAATTATTTAATTAATTATTAATATTTTAGAGGCCATTTAGGATCTGCTAATTACATTATAATTCTGCTAAATTAGATTAACTACTGATTTTTTTGGGACATGATTAACTACTGATTTAGATTGAGGCTCTCTAGGGTTTGCTTTTAATCTTTCTCCTTCCATTTTTTTCGTCGCCGTTACTTTTTTCTCGTCGCCATTCATTCGTTTCTGCTTCGACCTCGCGTGCTTCGCGTGAATTAATGCGTTGGAAGAGTAGCTAAAGAAGCTTTTTCGCCTCCTCCTCCGACGTCGGATCGAAAGTCACGCCGGTGGCTCGCTCGCTGCGAAGGTAACCATCTTTCTCCACGACAAGAACGCCGCGCGCGAGTCTTAAATCCCGTAATCTTTTAATCCCTTAAATCCCGTAATTCGTTAGGCAGGATTTAGCGTATATCTGGCTCCTTTGTCATTTCGCCCTCTTCCTTGTAGGTTGAAAAAAGGAGTTTTTTTCTTTGTGACAAGGCGCGCTGTTAATGCTCAATTTTCAAGTAATTTCATATTAGTTGGATCTGCAATTTGTAATAACGTGCTTCAGTTTGTGTACTTAAACTGCCGCTGTATGCTCATTCATCCTTTAGGCTATGCCATTGGAATCCTTTTCAAGAGTTTGTTTTTCTGGGCAGTAGTTCCTTCTAATGAATACGGATTTAGTGGCAATTTTTATTCATTGCAAATAGTAGAATTACAAAAAATCATGCAATTTAGCTTAAAAAATAGGTTGAATAGAAGCACAAATCCATTGAGTTGATGAAGATGACAAAAATGGCATTTCATTTTAATTGTTTGAGTCTGGCCGCAATCGTGATGTATTAATACATCTAGAAGGATTGAATAGCTGCATTATTGCCTATGGCAAAGATACCTATCTCTCTTATTCACATATAAGGACTGAAGGAAATGTCTTTTGGAATTCTTTTGTTGAAATAGTAAGCTCTTGGTTCAAGTTATGGATTGTTACAAAAAACTTTATCTGCGTCAGATAATTGAGAAAGTGAAAGAAATTAGTATGTTCAATTACAAAATGGAGGAGTTTAATAGATCTCTAATGACTGCTTTGATAGGTGTTATAATCATCATCATCATCATTTTTTGGCTGATGCCATATATTTGGGGTTCAGTTCTGGATCTTAGATCACCATCCATTCTTATTTGGTGATGACAGCTTGACCTTCAAAGGTACTGATATTATGTTAAGTCAGTGATAAACAGTTACTCCCTTATTCTTGGAAAAACCTGTTTGATTTTTTCAATGTCGTAAAAAGCTTTGTTGCATAGATTGTTTTGGTGGATATGTCCTATTGTCATACTAAACTATCCATTTAATTGGAGGAGCTTGACTTGTATTAGATGTCACTTGGCATTGCAAGCATCCTAAATAAGTTCAGGGGCTTTTCTTAGTACACTGCTTATATCCGAAATTTCATTCATTAATGCAATGGTTATGATTGATTCTAGATTTGCCTTGTCTTGCTTATGGTTAGGCTATATATTACACAAACAATCGAAAATTCCTCAAAAAGTTTCTTTACTGTAAGCTTTATAATTGCAAAGATTGCCTACTTTTAAGTCATGCTTTTCTATAGGCTTGTTCTTGACAGCTAAAGAATACTTGAGGAAGTTGCTTATTAACTTCTTTATTGCAACCCCTATCCATGCCATTTTTTTTGCTACTGTTAAATGTTTTTCTTATAACAATATTCACAAAAAATGGCGAACAATTAGATTGTAACAATACATAGTGCAAGTACATGAGGTGCACAGGCTATTACAAAATAGTAAAGAAGAAGAAGAACTAAAGATGCATAAGCTAATTGACTACCAGAAGAGATAATAATAGCGATTGAGGAACTAGCTTTGAGAAGGAATAGAAAACAAGACCTTATGGAGCAAAGTAGAAGAAGCTAAATATAGTATCATCGAGTGTATGTGATGCATAAAGCCACTTAGAAGCCAAATAAGAGGAGTGTCAAAACAGCCAAAACCTCTTCAATCTACTTGAGGAATAGCATATTCGGTACTCAAAATGTATATCATTGTTTACCATACTTCAAAGTGTGATGAATCAAATCCATAGAAGCAAATGAGCAACAAAATTCAAAAGCTACTTGAAAGAGACTTTATAATAAGAGACAAGCTGACACCAAAACAAGCAACTTCAATGGACCATTTGATCATAGGGGAGGAATGAGAGATCCTACGGGCCTTAATGTATTTCTTATTTTTTTCTATGTCTAGGCATGATTAATAAACTCAATTTTGTTATTTTTAAAAATTGAGTTAACCCTGGTGACAGAATTACAATTAAATATTGAAGTACATTGAAAATACATATTCAATTTATTTGAAATATCCACAACCAAATTTATAACTTGTCCCTGAGTTTAAGTCGTGAAGCATGGAGGCAACATAACGACATGAACACGACTTAACTATAAAAATTAGAACGTTATATCTCATGGGTACAATGTCACTTTTTTAAATTATTAATATGAAATACATAATTAAAACACCTAATACTTGTATTATTTATAGAAAAGCATGACAATGAAGTTTAAAATATTATACTTCACATAAGAAACTTCATAGTAACAACAGAAAAAACAGAAAATGTTACTTATGATTAGATTTAAAAAGTTTTTATGACGTGTAGTTATTGCCATTTTTCAGTAACACACCAACATTAACATTCATGAATCATTGCCAAATATTTTGCTAATATCAATAGTGTCTACAAAATATCAAAAATCCTAAAAAAGAATATCTTAAATTTCCGCAGTCTGATTTGTTTGATAATGAACTTGCACTTGATCAGTATGCCCGTCCAGGAGTGTACCTAGCTCTAAAGAAGTCCCATTGCATTTGCTTAATAAGGCCATATATTTTAATATTTATTTTTCTAGGCTTCGTAGGGGTGTGAACCATTGTTGCGTTCACCTAGATGCTTCGAAGCTCTTTTATGCGCCTCCAAGGCCTTCAGTAGCTCTGCTGTGGTCCTTCATATTTTTGTTGGCCTCTTTGTATTATAAACTTGTTGTAATGATGTTGACAATAGTCTTTAATATGTAATTGTTCATTATCTTTTTTTTTTTGTATGTGAATATTTTTTTTATTTAAAGTGATTTCAAGGATCAATTTGTATTGAGGTAACGATAATTGCAAACATGTGATTTCCTCGTTCTTGCGTATATGACATTTTAAAGGTTATCAAACTCCGTTATCTAAAATATTTATTTACATTTTAGAAATGGGGAAATTATTTTGTGCGGTCGCTGGACTGCCTAGAGGCGAATTAGGACTCACCATGTTACCTAGTACACAACAAAAAAAAAAAGTGACACGGCTCGTCCTGATTCACCTCCGGATGGCGTCCGGTGACCGCACAGAATAATTTCTTTTAGCAATGACCCGAGAAGGTGAGAAATATTTGCAGTTTACTTAGAACAACTGCTCTGTAACAGTTATTTTGTAGTGTATATTACATATAATGTCGATGTTGGTTAAATGCCAAATCTTTATTGAAAATAATGATGGTTTGTGGCAGTGTAAATGTTGGCCATCCCATAGTATAAAACATGTCTTTTAATGATTTTTACTTGCAATACATCTGAAAAACCAGAACCATTCTGTTTTTATATAAACAGCTTATCCGTACTGCATGTTTTTCTAGTCTGTTTAGCAATCCTTCTGGAAGCATTTGATAGTTTTATTTCAAGATTATACTAATATGATCACTGCCGTGGCATGTAAATTTCAAGAGCCATTGGTAGATGAAATTGCTTCCTAAAGTAAAACAAGTTGACCCTGCCAGGTTTCTCTGTACTGACAGTGTACAGTGAGAAGTATGATGGGTCAAAAATTTTTATCTTGATGCATTATTAAATGTACTGCATTGGAGCTTCATTTCATAGCACATCAGCATTCTTGAACTTAGATTTTCGAACTGTTTTGAATAACCAGCTTTTTTTTTCATGATGTATTGATTCATTTGGGATAGATTTTGATTATTATTTTATTATTATTTTCATAAATTTTTTTTATAAAAAACTGCTTTAAAAATAGTAAAAAAATTTCCATCAACTGAAATATTCATAAAATTGACTTGAGATGATTGGAATTGTGATTAAGGCTTTGTTTGGGATGGCTTTCTTATTGTTTCTTAAATGATTTTAATTTAGAGAATACTAGAAATGATCTTTCTTTATTAGTTTAAACGAGAATTCGACTTTTAATATGACACAATGGAGAAAAAGGATTCATGTAGCTGACCCCACGTAGTGGGACCAAAGCTTGATATTGTTGTTGAATGATGATATGTCTATCTAGATAGCTAGAATTGCAGCTTCATTTGAAAATTTTTGTACTAAAATTCCGTTTTATGTAGCAATAAAAAAACCGTCTCAAACGAAGCCTCAGTTAACTTGTGATCTGTAAGGTTCTATTGATGATATTGAATGCTTTGCATGGTTAACCATTGTACTACCATCCCTTACTGTGAGGTAGAAGCATGTTTTAGTTAACTTGTCCACAGATTATGCCGTTTAAATTGATATCAGATGGCAAAGATTGAATGTCATTATATTTATTGTATGCTATGATAATGGCTTGGAGTCCTCCATATTGTGTGAATGACCTACATAATCTGACTGGGCTTATTTGACTCTTACACAGTTTATATTTATAAAGAAATAACATTTTCAAAAAAGAAATGATCATAGAAGTTAATCAATCACTGTTATTTCTCTTATCTTCTAATTACTACATATGTGCCATACCCATTGAAATGGATTATTAGGCTATCAAAGTCTCCTTTCTTCTAATCGTCCTTATTGAGGATCATATTTCACAACTTTGTATATGATAATTAATCTAGTGTGTATAATATTAATAATTATTATATTTTATTATTTGAAAATAATTTCTAGATTTGTTAAATTTAATCATCTTGGATATATTATTTCAAAGAAAAGATGATACATATGAGGCTATAATATAGAAAGTTTAGAGCTATGTGGTAAAAATTGAAAAGTTTCAATTCGAATAATCGAGTAAGAGAATGGAGTCCAAAATTAATTTCTTTTTTAAAGAGTAAATCATGAATAAAAGTAGTGCAAAAAAAAAAGTAAAAAATTTGGTCATGGAGCAAGGGAATAAGGATATACAAGAGCGGAGAAATTATTATGTGCGGTCATTGGATATCTTTCGGAGATGAATTAGGATGTGTCATGTCATCATTTTGTTGTGTATCAGTGCTATGTACGGCTGTGTACTAGGTGATATGACGTAACTTGATTCACCTCCGAATAATCTGGTAATCTCATGTAATAATTTTTCCGAGGAGCGAGGCTGAGGTTTCTGCATTATAAGGTCTATTTGTGTCAAATTGCTGAGAATGGCAATGTTAAGGATAAATCCAAGAAAAAAAAATGAAAAATGAGAAAAATAGTGATTGCAAGTTTGCCACCAGCCTCAGAGATGGTAGAACGAAGCAGGCTTCATACTTGAACTCGCAAGAAAGATGCTATAATACTGGTAATTACCACGCTTTTCTATTGAGAACAACGATTAGACTCAGTCGAGCTCTTATAGGGTAAACATGGCACGATTGCAAGTTTGCCTTTTTTTACAATGCTAGTGAAATTATTCTTGCTGTGTGCAGGTACATTCACACCCAATTATGATTCTCTTATCAATATCGTTTGACTACAATCTTCTAATTATTGTCACCTGCTCGCCAACCACGGTCCTTGAATAGTTATCACTTCACAACGATACTTCCGATCCCCGTTGCTCTTTGACTACAGTTTTTTTACCATTGTTGTTTGATTACGGTTCACTAACCTATAATATCCTTATTAATGTCTTCTAGCTACTCTAATGTCTATCGACTTTATTACTTACCATTGACGATGATACCAACGCGTGTCATGACTTATAAAATTGATGTGTGCTGCGACATCAACTTTGACACTTAATTTCAATATATATATATAGTGTATCACACTGATAAAGAAGTATAGAGAGAGATAACAATGGATAAAAATAAAAATCTAAGTCAAAGGAGCCAATTAAAATAATATAGTGGTGCTTGTTAATGTTGTGACAAATCTAATTAAAATATTTGATATTAGCTACAAAGGAATGATTGAAGAAGTTCATAAATGTTGAGATCTATGATGAATTTTTCTTAGATGGTCTTAGATGTAAGATTTAGGCTTCGTTTGGGACAACTTTTTTGATATTTTGTGAAGTAATTTTTAAGTACAAAAATTTTTAATTCAAAAAAATTGTGTACTTTAATTCATTAAGCAATAAGAATGCTATACCAAATGAAGCCTTAAATGCATCTTTTCATTGCACTGAATGGAAAATAGCTTTTAATTAATTATTTTTAGAGGGTTATAAAAATTTCCACCTTATTAGTGTATGTATCGTAGGAGTTATTGATGCATAAATAAAAAAAATATGAAGAATACTATATGAAAGCTTCTAAATTTGAGTTATTGATTAAATAAAAGATAATCTCTCATTTTTAACGCTAATTTTCAGATTAATTTTTTTGTTCATTTATTATTTGGTTTAAGTTTAAGCCCCAGTAATATAGCTTCATACCTACAAGAGAATAATATATATATATATATATATATATTATTTTCCGATATATTTGGAGAGAAGCAATATTATTATTCAAATTTTTTTTCCATAATAATATGAATCTCTTATCTTTGATGTGATCAACATTCATAACATAAGCTCCCCAACTTTAATTCCATTAAAATACAATCAACCTTGTACATAATGTACCCCAATATTTAACAATGCAACAATAACTTCTTAGCTAATCACTATGGCTTGGTTGGGACGATTTTTTTATTGCTTTTTAAATTATTTTTTAGTAATAAAAATTTTAATTTTATAATTTAAAATTTCTGCTATAAGAAGCAGAAAGAAAAGCCGCCTCAAACGAAGCCTATATTTACATATGATCACACAACACATTTCACATCCAAAACTACTTCAATTTTTATCTTATTTTGGGTGCTCTTACCACTTAAATACAAGAATTAAGAAAAAAAAGCTCTTTATTTAGGAAAAAGGGAACAAGGTAGCATTAGAATTTATTATTATTATTATTATTATTCATGCTTAATCTTTAATTGAAGTGATGCTTTGTCATTATATCATATGAAGTTCGTATTATATAATTATTTGCCGCCTAATTGGGGTTCTTAATTTGGCCTTATATAGGATTGGTGATTCGTCGGTGAATGCTGCTTATTTTTAAAATTAGAAAGATATGTATTTATTGTAATGGGTTGATTAGATTGGTCAGTTATTCACATTTATCAATTATTGCTTCTATAAACATAATGTTGTAGGGGTAGGAGTATGGGTGTGTTGACTCAATCGATTTGGATGTATTAGTTCTAAAATTTTATTAAATTAATAAAGAAAAATTTAACCCAAACTGAGGTAAAGTGGCAAACGTGTCCGAAGTATACTTTTACTGCTATGGAAAGAAGAGATATTGGGTTATAAAAAGCAAAAAAAGTCTACTAGGATGGGGGAAAAATGAGAATGGTACGTTGGTCAGCAATAGTCAGCGAGGGTAAACAAGCGATTTTAGGCTTATCGTCACGGCCAGGGTTTTGGTGAAAGTAGGGTTTTTTAAGAGTCTTCTCCTCGCAAATCTTGCCCGAGGCAGGCAACAAGGAGAATCTTTTTAGTATAGACTATCTTTGTCTATTGGATAGTGAAATTCCCGGCAGTGAAGGACTCCCGGGAGTGGATCGTGATGTCAAGTGACGAACCACTATGATCTACATCTCTGTGTGTTGTCTTCTCTTCCTTTTACTTTTTTTATATTTACGCTTGCATTTTATTTTTCATTATAATTGATTTGAATTAGGTGATTCTAGTTGCCTCAAATATGCTGTCTCATCGCAGTACTCGCTTTTCGGCATTCATTTAAATTTTTTCTGTTTTAAAAATAAAAAATATTATATTATGAATCTACCTATTTATGTATTTTTTTTATTGCAACAATTTTCGCAAATTCACATGAATCTGAGTGGTCATTATCTCTTTAGAAAATATAGAAATAATAATAATAGTAATTGCGCTTGTCACTGATACAAGAGTTATGGACTACTTCAAAAACATACAAAACATCATTTCTCATTTAATCATCCCTAATTAAGTGTTTTATTAC